CTCTCGTCTCTTCCTATGTAAGTACTGTACAATAAAGTTCGTAGACTGGGAAATCTGGCCTGTATCCGTTAGATGTGCCACGGCCCGGTATCGTGTCGAACAGCTCCTATTTCAGGGGTGGTGCTACCAAATGATCATCTAGGAATATCATGCTGGGCAACTTTCTGAGTACCATAACTCTATTCTTGTAAAGGGCAGATTTGTAAGGAAGTTGAAGTCCACAGAAAAGCTTTAAAAGAACTAGACGTTCTACACAAGAGCTCCTAAATGTCGGTTGTGGTGGTAGAACTTGAACATACTCTGGTCACGCAAACTGCAGGTATAAGGGAAGGAGCAAGTTCAAGTGTGTAAGACGTTACAGAACATAAAATGTAGTAATCAATCACGTTTATTTTTTATTATTTAAAATGTTTACTGTTCTTCTTGACCACAATACTATACTTCTTGAAGACTTCAACGACCACCAGCGTGAAGAGTTTTTGAAATGAACTTTGTCACAAGCTTTCTCAGTGGACCTTCGCTTGCCTAAACAAAAACATTGTACTGGTGGATCACTTTAACCGAAGTTCAAAATTGAGTCATAAGTAATGTACGAACTACACGTCGTCCAACAATAAACTGTGAAGCAACATCGCAGTACGGCAGAAGCATCATGAAGCAATATCCAATAAACGAGTGGCAGGCAAAACAGACACTATATTTATACATCTGGACCGCCCTCACCACAAGAAATGCCCGATACTCTCTATACCATTTTTGCCACTGCACCTCTCAATTGTACGCTGCCCATCCTTGCAGTAACTCTCACCACGATCCTTTCAATATCAGTGGTATGAGATGATAGGAAACCGTGCTTCCATCATCGGCTACAGCTTTCTCGGAATTTAGATATAGGAGAGCCTAGAAGTGCGGAAAGCGTTCGATTTCTCCGCATACAGCTTGCGCAGCTGCTATTCTGTTGTCTCTCTGAGCGGTCGTACTTTGCCAGTTTCTAGTCAGTAGGGGTAGTAATCGGTACAGGAAGGTTTCGATGGTGTAACTAATAAAGAGCAGCATGCCCGGATAGCACAAGTACTGCTTCGAGTCCTGTCCTAAATTTTGCCCATAATCCGTCAACCTTTAGAGACTTTCTGATCGCGAACTGCGACGAAATCACATAACATGAAATCGGTACAGTAATCGGTATCGGCAGCTTCTTGTATCGCTTCTAAATATGGCTGCCTGCTGTGGGATGGAGTGGAAATGAATTGAACTATCGTTTTTGGATCACTACTGAGGACGCTTTGAGATGCTTTTCAATGGTGTGACCCTCCCTTACAGATCGAAGTCGTTAAAAATGTCCCAACCTCAGGTTTTGAGATTTGACTTAAGGTGTGAAGGCATCGTAGTGCTCCTGTTTGGACTGAGCGGTTGAAAACGCGCTGAATAAACGCGGTGCTAGGTGGATACTGAGGAAGCCCTTTCAAATAAGTGAGGAAGTAGCACCAAAGCTGTTGCAGTGCCCGAGAAACTTCGGTCTCAAAGCAACGTTCTTTTATCTCCTTTCAACTTAGAACAGTAAATTACCTTGCTTAGTGGTGTCCCTTGCTTTACATCACTTGGAATAGGCTTTTCTTTGGGATTTTTCTGAAATAAGAGGCATTTTTTGTAATCAGCAGTAATGATTAAAATAACGTACGCCTATTTTCAACTTCCGCCTTTTCCTCTTACTTCCTTTGTGCTTGAACGGGGAATGTACTAAAACGTTTTGTATTAAATGAGACGTTGTAGAATGGTAAACAACTAGTTACCATCATCACTATCTTCAGCGGTAATGAGTTGTGCACCATCTTGCGGTGAATGACCATGTATAGAAGAGCCATAGATAGAATGATGCCTCTGAAAGAAAAGTCAAAAGTAATTCAAGAATTTTATCTCAGAGGACAACGTAGGCGAGACCTGCGTAGATGTCGCCCGGTCTGCCTCTCAGCCCAGGTTTCAGGTTCAGTTTAGAGGCACAATACACGATAATACTGAGGAACCCTTTCGGTCGAGAAGCGGAAATATTTGCTGGGAATAGTGCATCGGTGGTGAAGGAAGTGAGAGAATTCGCCGATCTTATAAAAAATAAGGCTACCCAAAAGTAGTGAAAATAGGGGTTGTACGAGATTACCATGATGGAAATGACATAGAAGGGGTATTTGGACGTGATTTCAGTTGTTGCAATTGCGCAAAGAGACTACATCCTTTGTGACTGGTGCAGCCTCTATGATGTCGTTGAAACTCGTCCGCCCATACACACAGGACAATCTTTGAGCCTTTAGGACGCCCTATCTAGCCCGTTTTTCCACTTGACATATACACGTATGGTATACGGGGCCACAAATTATCCTAGCGAGATATGTCATAAGCCACTTTTATGGTCAACTGCGCCTTCGAGAGGAAGGGGACTTTTAGAAACGGTTCGATGGAAAATGCGTAAAGTGCTCAGTGACCACGGTGTACGAGGGCAAAAGATCTATGTAAGCTAATTAGAATTGATTAGAAGAAACGAAAGTTCCCAAGGAGTGCTAAGGACTAACATGCTTTCTGTCTTTCACTTGTATATGCTTGAATGCCTCGCGACAGCCGATTTCCACAGCATCGTCTGCCATGACCACGTCCATTGTTGGCTCGGTGGATTTCATGGCTACACAGCTGGGGTTCGTCAAATGATGTAGTGAACTGGGTCGTTCGACAAGAAAGGAGCAGAAGCCGTCTCGTTCTTGAACTGCACGAATTCGATTTTTCAATGCCACCATGTTGACCTTGTGTGGAATCTGTAATATGACCCTATCTGAAGCGGAATCTAGCGGAATCAGCAAAGTGCACCTTCACTGAATCAATGTCGATGATTCGGTCCACAATGAGGAAGGCGAAAGCTCCCATGGATTGTGGCATTACCTGGAATAACGGCGATTTGAGTTCACTAAATGGGAGGAAACTGAAGGGCAGATTCTAAAACCTGATTGATGTGAAGCCTTCCATGACTAACACATTGAAATTCGAACCCTTCCGGCATGTTTCTGAGAAAAGGCAGCTCTGAAGGGGAACAGTTTTGATAAAGCTTCGTCATTTGGGCACTTGGCCTTACAGAGCGTAGAACTAACCTACTATCAAATAGCAGTACTTTTTTACCGTCCATACATGTGCCATACGTTCAGGCGTAGGTGGTCGAACATTCCATGGCCTCACAACTCCGAACTTTATCTGCCACTATCACATTTGTGTTGCGGTGGTTTCATAGCTTTATTTGTACTTTTATTTACATTTATTTGTTTCTTTTCAACCATCCTATACATGCCCACATGCGCTCTCAAGGGAAATGGTAATAACAGCTTGCTCGCTGGCAAAAGTTCAAAAAACTGCCTTCTGCCTGTGACCACAGGTCGTAGGTACGGTGAGCAATAATCGCTAGGAGTTCAGCTAAGGACCGTCTTCTACTTCCGTCTGGGTGTTGTGGAGGTAACGTTAAAGAGTCTCGAGTACTTATGCGATACCTCATGATCAGTCTTCGAATTATCAGGGTCCCAAGCTGAGCTCGACGACCAGGGCCCGTTTGGATGGCAAATAATGGGGAGCAACATTGCTGTAACTCTCTCTCTCACTGAGTATTGTCGTATGCTGAGAGTCACGAAATTACAGAGGTTGCGCGTTATTACCTCGCCAGTAGCTGCTTCCACACGCTCTTGGAACTCTGTCAAGTTTCTTGGGACAAGCCCATTGATTTCCACTATCTGAATTAATTTTTATTATTTCTTACGGCTTAGCATCTTCTCAAGAGTTTTATAGGAACCTGATCGAGAAACTCAAATTCCTCTGCACGGGTCAATCACATGTTCCAATTAAGGTTTGCTCAGAGGGGCTGCTTTCACAGTCCGCCTAGTGGACTGTGAAAGCAGCCAGGGGAAGCGAGAGGGGAGGACGCTTCACCTAATGGGATGATCACCACAGAATCTTTCGCCTCCTACTCTTTCTACTCATTCCTTACTACAAAGTAGCAGTTATAAGGCCTATTAATGCTATCTTGGAGGCGGAGGTGGTGTGGGCAAGTGGCGCACCATCTCACACGCACGGTCAGGGGTTCGAATCCAGGATCGATATTCGCCTAGCCAACCAAGCCTACCATCTTTTCGTGGTCGATGAATTGGTACCGGACTCGTCTGGGAAGATAACAGCACTGACTTGTACATCGGCTGACCACCGCAAGTCATTGTATAGGCCACATACGCACTCATTTCGCCGCTGCGATTCTGAATGGAAGTTGGGTACGGGGCGAATCCCACAGACGAGATTGATCAACGCCAAAAACGTTACCCTTTATCCTTGATTTATGATATCTTGGCGAAGGATAGGAAGTGATCTCAAGCGACAAGAAACGACAAGACAAGTAACGCCGCTACTGTAGGAATTCCATCTATGTCAGGGAGGCCTCACCCTCTACCCTAGCATTACGGTCTTCCAAACATGTTCAGGGGAATTCCAGTGTTTACATAGTTTTCACATACTTTCATAACGGGGAGCAATGGATCCTAAGAATGGTCGAAATCCTCTATTCCTAATCGTTTTTATGGATAGTAGTAATATCTTATGAAACAAACCTGGTCTCCAATCACTAAGTGATAAAATGCAGGTGAGTTAATAGGAATAAAAATTAATACGAGATTTTCCGTTAAATTAGCATCGAGGGGTTTCTGAAATGGATCTGATTAGCTACAAAGGGTTCCCTAAATGCTCTTCCCAAAACTATAGCGGATTAGATACTGGGAACGTTCGACGAACGGATAAGAAGCCCTCCAAATGAAGGAGAGCGGCATGGTCATAATTTTATAATAGTGGAGTGTCAAGAGGGTAGCTTCATTCCTTGTCTCATGCTTTATATATGTACTTCGACGTGCAATCGGCAGGATACTACGCGATGACCCCCTCTGTGAAAAGAACAATTCTCAGAGTTCCTCTACTCGAGGATATTCAGAGAGTGTCAAGCTGGCATGTGGGAACTTCTACCCGAAAATCGCGTTGCGCGAATGCGAACAGCTTCCCTAAACTCTGATAACCTGAATTTTGGGAGTTTCTATTGTTCACCGAGATCGGAAGTCAGGAGGTAGTTGTGAGAAATGCCAGAAAACCTTCAGCATCACCTCAGTTATCACTTCTATCTGACTGGAAATGTTGGAACCTGAAAGGCAGCTAGAACGCCAGAGTGTAGGCACCGCTCTCACGCATTTCGAGACCGAAGTTCGGACGGGTGACGTGTGTGTGGTGTAATCGTACCATAAGCCTCTCATGGCGACTGCTTTTCATCAATCGCGAGTTATCAAACGTACCCCTTCTAAGTCAATACGAACATGAACAAATTTATAATGATGAATTGGAGGCTCTTCTGAGCGATAGACTCCAGGACTGACGGCAATCATCGACGCACTCTTCCTTACACCTGCAAAGTAAGTGATATAAGTAGTAATAATGGTGGTTTTCTCGAAGATATAGGTGAATCCTCACATGTCTCAGATGGAGTCACCGAAGGGTGCTCTATAAAGCCTTTTGCTTCCGGTAGTTCAACGTCTACCAATGACGGACGCTCCTTCAAAGAAGAAAATGAAGGAGAGAGTGCAGGTGATACTTCTCGAGAAGATCGCTCTATCGCTGGTGATTCATCCACCATCGGAGGAGATGATACTTTCCTCTGAGAATGTTCCCTCGCTGTCGAAATTTCAGTGGCTGAAGGAGACCTTCTTACTCGCCTGCTACTACGTTCCCTCGCTGTCACCATTTCCGTCACCGAGTGGGATCGTGTTGCTATCCGGGTGCACTCTCTTGCTGTCGACGCTTCCATCCCAGGAGAAGATGCTATTCTTCGGTGAGAATATTCTTTTGCTGACCATAACTCCTTCAATGAAGAAGACCGACGTTCCGTCGGCCGACGTCGTTCTTTTGCTGTCGACATTTCTGTTACCGAAGGAGACCGGGTTGGAGTTAGAAGTTGTTCTTTCCCTCGAGATACTTCATTCGATGGAGATCGTGATTTTGTCCAATGCCTCTCCCTTGCTGTTGATACTTCCACCACCGAAGGTGAACGTATGGGCCTTTGTGCTCGTTCCCTAGCGGTTGCTACTTCCAATACTGAGTGGTATGGCGCCACAGTTGGAGATCGTTTCATGGTAGGCGACGATTTTCTTTCTTTTGTAGGAGTTTGTTCTGTTGGGGAAGTCAGTGATTCTCTTGAGGGAGGGGACGACATTCTTCGAAGATGATACTCCAGATCAGGCAGAGCGTAGTATGATTTTGTAAAGTCTTTAACAATCAACGGAGAAACTTCCTCTTTCTTAATTTTTGATGGGGAACTTTTTCTTCTGGGCATCCTCGGAGGCACATCCACAGTCTGTAGGATGTCTGAGCGATTTATTAGAGACATTGTTGACGGCGACTCTTTGTCTGAGACGGTTTTTTCACTTCTACTTCGTGAAGAACTTCTTGGTGAAATGTCTTTTTTCATTTTTTCGCTCACGGAAGAAAATTTCCTCATTTTCTCTTTCTTCTGTCCCGAGTCCGCCGATTTTACCTTCCGAACATCTATTGGCGGTTTTTTGCTTTTTCGTTGTGCGCGCTTCTCAGGTGATTCTATCTTCGGCTTTTTCACTGGATTGACAATAGTTTCAGGCTTCCGCGTTGACTGGATTTCATGACTTTGCCCAGCTTTAGGGACGGCAAGGCTCTCAGTAACCTGAAACAAGAAAGAAAAATTGTAAAAACTATGTAGAGTCAGTAGCGCAATCGACAGTCTCACAGTAAAGTCGAGTACATCTCAAGTAGTTAATTTACTTCCTTAAAACTACCGCTCAGAAGGTCTAGATAGCTATCACTGCTTTTGTGAGAGCTAACTGCACTGATCAACTTCTACGAACGGCAACTCTACTGGAAAGTTTCGACTTTTAAAACTTCAATCTTTCACCCCTTCAGGTGGTTGCACGTCCTTCTTTTGTAGTGCTTTCTGTTCTTGCTCCATCAGCATCCGCTTCAACTCCTCCTCCTGAACATATGCATTTCTTCCTCTAACGCTGGACAAAGGAGTAATCCGTACAAATTGTGACCGTTACAATATTACTTCTTCCACTCTTCCTATTATATTACTCAATAGAAGGTGGTATAGTGGCAAGCGGGCTACAATCATACGCGCATGGTCATGGGTTCGAACCGCGGACAGATACCCGTCTGAGCCAGCTAAGCCTTCCGTCCCTCTGGGGTCGGTTAATTGGTACCGCGCTAGTCTGAGAGGATATAAGCACTGCCGTCCACCGGCTGCACACCGTAAGTAAACAAATAACAGTAGAGGCAAAAAACGCTTTCAAAATCTGCCACTGCGATTCTGAATGGAAGTCGAATGAGGGGGAGCATCTCTCAAACGGGATTGAGAAACTCCCAAAGACTTCATCCTTTTAGTTTATTAACCATTTTTTCCTATAATTCCTATTATTATAGCCAGATTTACAGTTTCTTACAGACATATGACAAGTCTTTGAGTTCGATTCATCGAAGTTTTTCGATACACTTAATAGAGCACAAGATTCGAGCTAATTACCGAGTTTGATTCCTCCTTCTCATCCAGAATTTCTGGTTTCTCCAAAGTTTCGAATGCGGACTCTGAATTCGTGATACAGTACCAAAACGAGAAGGCGGACTGGCCAACATCCTTCTGTGAAAACCAAGGACCAGAGCTGCGGTATCATTAATATAAGAGGAAGCAGCATTTGCTCACACAGTGCTTGCCGCAGCAGGATCAGCAGTTATAACTAAGTAGTACTAAAGCCAGCGTTTTCTCATATGCTCTGAATAATCTGAAGAAGGTGTTGGTAAAGTATTGCACTAGCTGCGAATACACTGGCCATCTCTCCTTTCTCCTTCAAAGCTAGGATAGATCATGTAAATCAAAAACATTGACAAAGCGGAAATACCTCCTGCGGATTTCCGGCGCTTTTTTACTCGCTATTGCTACGTAAGTCAGTGCCACAGTGTTGTGATGTATAATGTAATAGAAGAATTCCAACGCCAAGGTCCGAACCCGGTCCGCCTTTGAAACCCAAACTACCCAACGAAGATGGTCCCTGATCTTGAAATAGATTCGCCCAATGTTAGGGTCTATGAACAACGAAGTTACAATACTCATACTTCTTTATTCCACTCAAGGCTAGAATGAAGAAAGTGCTGAAGTTTAGCTGAAATTCCATCCCTACTGTCAGACATAATTGTGTGGCAGCGGAAATGCTGCTACCCCAATTTTATGATGATACCGCGCTCTTTGTCGATTTTTTACGGGATATGCCACAATATTGTTCGGCTTTAGAATTCACTGATTCACATACCATCCAAGGCAGGCGGAGCTACCATCTTATCTGGTGATTGCACTGAAAATTTGATGATAAACAAAGAAAGCTTCACTGGTGGGGAAGCGAAGTTGGTTATGACCATTGTGTTTTTCGCCTCTGTGAACGAGAACAAGATCTACCATTCTCAGACTGCTTCTCCACTGGCTTCTCGCGATCCGTTGGCTTTCCGGTCGCTTTCTCACCACTTCCATGACCGCTTGATTCTTTGGCATTTTTGGCCCCCTTAAAACTTCAGGTCAACATACTGGTCAATAGAAGAGACGCTCTCTATCTCGATGGCAACTTTCCATATTACTGTCACACCCACATTGTCCCAAAAAGGTACGCACATGTTGCTATTTTCATGAATTGAATTCGGCTATTTTTCTGATGAGGAAGGTGGTGTCATTTATAGGCCCGATTGTGCCGACCCGCGCTATATCCACCCCTTCTATGGTTGCGACTTTTGCAAAAATTTCGAAAACTCTCCGACACCCTTTATTTGGGGAGGATGGTAGGACACTACGCACAGAAGTTCGAGGTTTAGTGGCCAGTTTCCGCGATGATACGTGCTCCCAAATACCATTTTCTCGTCATATCTACGAAGACCGGGAACCTATCCCCAGAGACGTGAAACCTGCCCCTCTCCCTTCCCTTGTCGGCATGGTTCGGCAGTCCTCTTGTTGTGAGCCGGTATGAAAATCTACTGTTCATTTTTTGCTGTTGCTGGTAGTTTCGGTTCTCAAAGTTCGTTTGTAGTCCAGCGCAGAGGTGTCGAGGTGGTGCTACCGATGCAGAGTACAGGATCCGCAACGCTCTCGTATCTGTCGTGGCAGCTAACTTGCTCTGATAACCAGTGTGGAAATCTAGCGCTTTAATTTCTATACCATGAAGGATGTTAAATTCATACGCACCATTTCTCTGTCGTCAGCACCTCCTTCGTGCGTAGCTGGAATGGAATGGAGGTCAGTAATAACCCTAGTATCACTTTGTGAGTAGAAATCGAAGAGTGTGTAAGAATGAAAGAGTAACAAGCCGCAAAGGCATCACTCACTCTCAGGATGCTTTGCGGCCTCAGGAGTCATCACTTTGATTCTCTCGTCTGATACCTTCAATGTTGCAGCATTTTTACTCAGTGCTACCTGTAAGAGATGAAATTGCAACTGCTTCGCATATTCAAATCAGGCCCCACCCCTATCTGTCGTATTCTGAGGGTCAAAAACTTCTCTGCGCAACAACGACCTCCGGGAGGCTGGTTGCTAAGGAGACAATTGGGGCAGATGACGTTAGCCTATTTAAGGACATAGCTCTGTAACACTCAAGCAATACAGTGTTAAACATCTGACGCCTTACGCGGTGTATACCAGCACTGTAGTGGAATGATAACAGCAAATGTAAAGCCGTAGCTCATAGGCCTTCTTATTTTCTCCGATGTTCTTTCATTCGAAGAGGTTTCCGGAGGTTTTTTCGCAATTGACAGCGAAACGAGAGGGATAACCGAGAGTGAGAGGTGAGCCGATCCGATCCAAGCCTTCAGAGTTTCTTTAGGCTTATTAGCAGAACCGTATCCCTTCAGACGTATCGCAGTGACAATGAGCGAGTTCAGACCCCGACCGACCCACCGACCGACCGACTGACCGACCCACCGACCCACCGACCCACCGACCAACCCACCGACCGACCGACTGACCCACCGACCGACCCACCAACCGACCCACCGACCGACCAACCGACCGATCGACCAACCGGCCTACGGCTTCCTGGCCTACGTTGTCAACATCGGCCAAGAGCCCCTTCAGTCGGTCGGTTCGTCAGTGGAAACAATGCACGTCGGAGGAGTCTGAAAACACCCAACGATAACACTTCCTTGTTATCCCTTCATCACATGGTGTGTCGGTCTAGACCGAACCTTTTCCCATTCTTCTAGAACCGTAGGATGCTGATTCATCCTTAACTTCTTGTTACTTTTAGCCTTCTACAAATTAGAAAAAACTTCCGCCACTCATTATTCCTTGGACCGCATCGTGTTTTGATTGACTTATAAATATGGAAGCCTGTTATTTCGTAGGGACAAGGGCTGGAGTTTTATCAACTGACATCTCAACCTCTCGGTGGAACTCATTCAATTCGAATGAGAGCGGATTGCTGGCTGTGCAAGCAACTGGACTCAGCCTCACAACTGTCTGTACCCTGGCCTGGGTTTCAAGCAAGAAGGAATAGGTCCATGTCGTGTCCACGGTCACAACATGCTGCTCGGTTTCCTGCCTCTTTTACTGGTGGCAAGTGCTGCAGGTTTGACTGACCAAAGCCGATCCCACTCATCAGATTTGAGTAGTGCTTACAACAGCGCCATGGTACTTACCAGTTCGTCTTCATCGGGACTTGTATCGCCTGAAAACCATAGTTGCCTTGGCGATCATGTTAGTTTTTCAAGGGAAGATTTTGAAGCTCATGTAGAGATCCTAGCAAATACCTTTCTTCTTCTTCCGCCTACGTTTCTTCATTTTCTGTGGTTCTTTCTCTTCCTGAAAAGATTTACCTATGCCGTTCTGCCAACGTATGGCATCAAGATCCTCAGAAGGTCATACTTTTTAACGTTACTCACCGATGAGGAACTCTTGGACTTCTTTCCATCTTCCTTCGTACCGCTCATCTTCACATAACTACAAAGCAATGACTGTGCACCTCACTCCTCTCTTGCAACTAACAAAACATCAAATCACAATCACTCATCAATCTGTTCAGTGATCCGACCCAGAACTATGCAAAGGATGGGTTGTTCTTCTGTTGCTCAATGGTTCGCCCTAATAGAATGTGAAATTCTGAAGAGATAGTTTTGAGTGAGCCTTCTCTGATACTCCGTGGTTGCAGAGGGCGCTCTTCCGAGTAGCTCCAGCCCATGATCCTGCAGACGATCCCATCTTCCCTCTCAAATTCAGTGAGGTGAGCTGATGGAACCTTCCGATTCATGGCTCTTTCAAGTACTGAAGAAAACTGCCTAGAATGGTTCATTCCCCTCCCGTTGCCTTTATATTACTAATGTTCCGATTATCAGTTTTCCCCATTTGATTTCTCAATGCCATCATTACCAACTAGTAATGGAATTCGCTAATTTGGTTAATTAGTGACGTTAATTTGAGCTCAAAAGCAACATCCATTAAGGGATCAAGTTTTCAAAGATGAATGATGTGAATGATATGATCCGATTCAACGAAATCTGCTTCTATATGTACAATACAAGTGAAAGGCGAGTGACGTCTGGTTCTCAAAAGTGCCTCTCTTACTTCTTAGCTTCTCCATTAGAACTTTACAGCTTTACATTTCCTAGTTTATTTTTTTT